CGCACGGCTTGGCGCCCCGGCTGCGCGCCTCCTTGAGCATATTTCCTCCTCCCCCTCCTCAATCCCTCACCCAACCTCCCCTCCCCCTCTTCCTACTCCCTGTCTATATCTTCTTGGGTTTTTTGGTTGTGTTTTTTTAGCTGAGGGTGGGGAAGGAGGAAATCACTGGGTCACAGAGTTTTGCTTTTGTACAGTTTTATGTAGAATTTCTATACAGGAAACTCTTTCAATTACTCTCTTTAATGCTGGGTAACTTGGTCCCTGTGAAAGTGCTTTTGCCCATTTTCCTTGTTCTAGTGCACGTGAGAGAATGTTACTATTGGTAAGGATTTCATTGAAGCACTCCTCACCCTGCACTCCTTTCAGATGAGGGAGCTCATAGAATATCATGTGGCAAGTGGCAAGCAGTTTATCTTCATTTTATTAAGCACTGGCTCTCCACAACTCATTGCTCTGGACTCATAACAGCCTGCTCTCCTGGCCTAGTGGTAAGAAACTGAAGTACAATCCCAAAGGCACACAATTCAAATCCACCAGCAGCTCTGTGGGAGAAAGATGGGCAGGCTTCCCCTGTGCAGTTTGTTACTGTTGCTGCTGCTGCTGTTGCTGTTGTTAAGTGCCATCAAGTTGTCTATGACTCATGTTATTGTTCTTGATTGCCATCGAGTTGAGCACAACTCGTAGCAACTTTATGAACAAAAGGCCTGAAGCCTTTCCATAACTGTCTACATTTATCAAAGTTCATAGAGTTTCCAGAGGCATGTGGTTTAGGAAGTGGATGCCACGAGTGACCCTATCAACAATAGCTCTGAGCCCTGCCCTCTCGTGAGCCAATCTCACTGTCTCTGGCACTCCTGCCTCATTGCTACAATCACTGTGGCAATCCATCTCATCTAGAATCTTTCTGTCCTGCACTGTCCCTCTACCCTTCCAAGCATGAGGCCCTTCTCCAAGGACTGGTTCCTCCTGGCAGTATGTCCAAAATATGTGAGATGGAGCTTCAAAATCTTTGCCTCTAAGGAGTATCCTGTTTTCACCCTCTTCAAGACAGACCTGTTTGTTCTCTTGGGTGTCCATGGTATGCCCAGTACTCTTCTCAAGCACCACAACACAAAGGCATTGATGATTCTTCTCCCATCCTTAATAACTGTCCAGCATTCAGATGCATAGCAGGTAATTGAGAAAACCATGGCTTGGATCTGGCCCACTGTAGTCTCTGAACTGACATTGTTTGTTGATCCTTAGTACTCTATAGAGGGCCCTGGCAGCAGATTTTCCTAAAACCACTTGTCTTTCCATTTCCTGAGTGCCATGCAATGAGTGTTGATTGTGGATGCGAGCAAGAGGAAATTGTTAACAACGTCGACCTCTTCTCCATCCATCTATCATGGTGCTATCAATCGGCCCAGTGAGAATCTTTGTTTTCTCGATATTGAGGTGCAATCTATATTGAAGACTGTAGTCCTTGACTTTCTGCAGCAAACACTTCAAAACCTGCTGGAGGGACAGCATACCACCACTACCTTCAGTTGACAGGACTACCCCTTATCTGCTGGGCCAACAGAGCTCCCTCAGCGCTGCCTCTGAAGGAAGGTCTTTGTCTTTTCTGAGCCTCTACTCTTGAGTCCTCTTCATTTGTCTTGACATTTTCTTCCCTCATTTCTGCTTACTACATTATGTTTGATCTCCTTTCCCTATGTGTTAGAATCCATAAGACTATCCTGGGCTTTGTGAGAACAAAAGAGACTGTCCCAAAATGTACCCAACATTAATCCAGTCTTATCAATACAACAAAGACAGCTCATTCCCACATCATAGAGTCTAGGATTTACAATGCAGATTTTTTGGGGGACATAATTTGTAGTCTGCAGGGTATGGTGTCATACGTCTCATACTATTCAAATCTACCAGTGGCTTCTCAGGACAGAGATGGGCATTCTTCTCCTGTATAGTTTACAGCCTTGGAAAATCAGTGCAGGGTACAGTGAGTGAGTGAATTTAATCTGTAAAGCATTGAAAACCTTAGTCAATTTTAGCTTCATGATTCAGAGCTAAAAAATTTTCTCTTTGGAGAATTATATACCAATGAAAGTATAAGAAAATGTAGGTTCTATAACCTTATGACTAGCAATTTTTTCATAGTAACAGCCAAATTTGCTTTTCAAAGAAACAGTGCCTATGATCTATCTGAAAAGTGGACACTTTTCATGCTTGCTTTCTTTTTCCTTTTTCTTTTCATTAATTTTAATGAAAGTTTTCAGAGACTTTGGATTTCCATTCATTCATTGTTGCACTTTTTTCCCTGCCCACCACTCCCCCCAGTTCCATCTTCTCTTTGAAAAGTAAAAAAAATTAAAAAAATTCTTTCATTGTTATACGATCCCTCCCGCCTCGTCCACTCCACTGTGCAGCCTTCATTCTGGTCTCCTGTCATGACAATAATACCTAATCGTATATCCCTTTTAAACAGTTCTCCCCCTCATCTGTTTCAATGCAGTATACATTATTTATCTCCTCTTTTCTTAGTTGCCCCTCAACCCCAATGTCTGTCCTGCTCTACAACAGTGGCATTATGTAGCATTCATCCTTTTGTGACCAAGATATTTCACTCAGAAATAAGGTAGGAGGCATCTCACTTCCCAATTTCAAATCCTACAGGATCACCCATTTTGTATAACAGTTCATGAGTTCCTTGTTTTTCAATGCAGCATAGTATTTCATTGTGTGAATATACCAGAGCTTCTCTATCCATTCATTTGTTGATAGGCACTTGGGTTGTTTCCAACTCTTTGCTGTTGTGAACAAAGCTGCAATGAACATGGGTGTGCATACATCTGTTTGCAGTTCTGGTTTCTTTAGGGTATATTCCCAGTAGTGGAACTGCTGGGTCAAATTATATTTATATTTCCAACTTTTTGAGAAAGTGCCATACCGCCTTCCATAGTGATTGCACCATTTTACACTCCCACCAACAGTGAATAAGGGTTCCAGTTTCTCCACAACCTCGCTAGCATTTGTTGTTAAATTTCGGTATTCTTACTGGGGTGAGATGATATCTCATAGTTGTTTTGATTTGCATCTCTCTTAGAGCTAGAGATTTTGAACATTTCTTCATGTGCTTGTTGGCCATCTGAATGTCTTCTTTGGTGAAGTGTCTGTTCATAACCTGTGCCCATTTTTCAGTTGGTTTGTTTACCTTTATCTTGTGGTGCTCAATATTTTATAAATTCTAGATATAAGTTCCTTATCTGACATCTGACATGTTATTACCAAATATTTTTTCCCAATCTGTGGCTTCCCTTTTTACCCTGTTGGAGAAGTTTTTGGATGTGCAGAGGGATTTGATTCTTAGAAGGTCTCATTCATCTATTTTATCCTCTCCTGGTTGTAGATTTTCCAGGATGGTTGGGAGACTGTTTTTGTTGTGGATTAGGACTTCTAGAGTTCTTCCAAAAAGGCAATCTCCAATTTCATTTGGAATGGAAAGAGGTCCCAAATAAGCAAAGCACTCCTTAAAAAGAGAAACAAGGTAGAAGGCAAAAAAATCCTCCCCAATTTTAAATCCTACTACAGTGCTGTGGTGGTCAAGACAGTGTGGTACTGGTACAATGACAGATACATAGATAAATGGAATAGAATTGAGAATCCAAAAATCAGCCCATCTACCTATGGTCAACTGATTTTTCACAAGGAGATGAAATCAGTTAAGTGGGGAAACGACAGCCTTTTTAACAAATGATGTTGGCAAAATTGGAAAATTATCTGCAGAAAACTCAAGCAAGATCCACACCTCATCCCATACACAAAAACCAGCTTAAAGTGGATCAAGGACCTAGGACTAAAACCAATAATTATAGTAAACTTCATGTTTTATTTCTTAAACTTTTGCACTTGTTCTAAATATAAAATTTAAAGATGACAGTTTTCACAGATGCAAATTTATATTCCTATTTCTGAAGGCTAGTAACTGATAAATTAATTTAAAAATTAAGTTGCTTTTTCTAAGGAGATTATATTAATATAAACATATACCCAGTGACTCGGATGCTAAAATCACTTTGTCTCTGTATTTTATTTTGAGACAAACAGGATTTCCGTTTAGATCCATTTTCCATAGCTTCATCAACTTGCTCAGTAAAAACTCCAGATCCTATAATTACAGAAGAAAAAGAAACATGTAAATATTTTATAACTACTACTTTTTCTAGCATTGCAGTGAACTGTATCTAAATGCTATTACTGCTTTGCACGGTGGCCTCATGGACAGAGAGTTGTGCAGCCAAGCCAAAGGCTTGGACCCACCAGCTGCTTAGGGGAAAAGATGGGCCCTCTCCTCTCATGGGATTTATTGCCTCTGTTAGAAGGTCAACTATGAGTTGGTTCCAATTCAATGGCAAAAGTTAGATAGTAGGTACACAAAAATCCTTGATTTAGGTAAAATAGTTTAAACTGTTGATTTTCCAGGTGTGACGGAGTTGAGTCTTACTCAGGCTGACTTGTGTGTAGAACCACACTTCATAGAACCTTCAAAGGCTGGTGTTTCATAGATCACTGGCCCTTTCTTCCAACATGCCTCTGAGTGGACTTGAATGTCCAACTTTCTGGTTAGCAAGCAAACCAAAAAGGGACCATTTGCACCACTGAGGGTCTCTAAGTGATCATAGTTATGGTGTACTATTAAGTTGGTTGCAGCTCCTACTGACTCTGTGTAACAGTATAGTCAGTCATATAGTGAAATCCCATGGGGTTTCCTAGACTATAATCCAGCAATTTTCTCCTTTGGAGTAGATTATTATTATTGTTATTTTGTACCATCAAGTTAGAACCAACTCATTCATAGCTGACCCTCCATCAAGTTTTCAGAGACTGTAATTCACATGGAAGGAGAATGCCCATTTTTCCAACTGTGGAGCAGCTGGTGGACTCGAACCACATACCTTTGTGTTGGAAGTTCAGCTACTTACCATTAGGCCACCAGAGCTCCCTTTGGAACAGATAGTAGGTTTAAATTGCCAACCTTTTGATTACCAGCCAAGCCCTTAACCATTGCATGACCACGTTTCTTTTATGGATAATAATAAAATCCCCAAACTTGTTGTTCATGGGCTTACACTTCACAGTGACCCCATAAGACACAGCAGAACTGCCTCATATAGTTGCCAGGGTTGTAATCTCTACAAAAGCAGATTCTTTTGTTTTTCTCCCAGAAAGTGGTTGATGCGCTTGAACCACTCACTTTCTGGGTAGCAGACAAGCACACAGCCACTGAAGCAGCAAGGTCATACCCAGTGCCTTCAGGTTTCCATGGCTGTAAATCTTTGCAGAAGATTAGCCATCTTTCTACTGCCGAGCAGCTGGTAGATTTGAACTGTTGACCCTTCAGTTTCAAGTTCAGCATTCTATGCATTATGCCCTCAGGGAGATCTGTACTGATAATAATACACCCACTGCTATCAAGTCGATTCCAGCTCATAGCCATCCTCCCTCAGGTTCCCAAGCTGTAATTTTTGTGGAAGGAGACTGCCCATCTTTCTCCTGAGGAATGCCTGGAACAGTGGACCACTGATCTGTGAGCTTGAGTTTTTTTGAAGATGAAGGGAAAGGTGAGGTTCTAAACTGCCAGCCACATAGCTGTCCCCGGTCACACTTTCTTAAATGAACCTGGCTGCAGCTCAGAAAACACTCCCACTTTTCCCTTTCCCTCACCCCCAAATCTGCAGAGGCGGGACTTTAGAGTCCTTTCTCATTAGGGCCACTGGAAGTTCACAGAGGAAGAGACAATTGAGAAGTAAAATGCAAACTCATTACCTTCGAGCTGGAACCAACTCATAACTGACCCCCCTCCAGCTGAGTTTTCAGAGGCTGTAAGTCACACAAGAGGAGATGGCCTGCCTGCTCCCACAAAACAGCTAGTAGATTCGAGCCTCCTGCCTTTGAGCTGGTAGCACAAGTTCTTACCCGCTAGGCCATAGAAGATCAAATACCATGTAACCTTCTGTATGAATAACACCTTAACATCAGGAAAAATCCTCACTGGGCATTATCACACTATCCCAATAATTGAAGAAAGAACTCAAGTTGTCCTGAATTTTACTTTACTTAGTCCCACAATAACTCTGAAGCTGTTATGCTTCAGAGTCAACACCACAGCACCTAACAAGATGTCCACTGGCATTGCAAACAAAATATATTCCCGCTTTGTATTTGATATAGAATACACAATCATTTTCAAAATCTGTAAAAATCTTCTGTCAAAGGGGAAACAGTGGAGTTGGTGGTTGGTCTTAGGTGGTGTTGAGTTGACCACATGAACTGCAGATCTGAACCTGCACCATCCTCATGCCCTCTGCCAGGCTCGAGCCCATTATTATAGTCACCATGTCAGCTCAGTCCACAGGCTCCTCCTCTCTTTCTCTGACCCTCTACTCTTCCCAGCATGATTTTCCAAAGACTGGCCCCTCCTGACAGTATCCCCAAAGTATGTGAGACCAAGTTTCATCATCTTTACCTCTAAGGGGCACTCCGGTGTGCTTCCTCCAAGACAGGAAGAATACAAGGAGGGAAAATAGTGTTCCCATGCCTGTCACCCAAAGATTATTATGAATATATTGTTACACAGCCTTCCAATATTTTTTTTTCTGACAAGGAGTTGTGTTTTTTTTTTAATTGTCATCATGCTGTGGGTACAGTTTTTGTTGCTATCTCGTAAAGGTTGGTATGTTTTTACAGCTTTTGAGAATTCAATTAGTAATATATCGCTCTGGTGGCCTAGTGACAAGAAGCCATACTGCAATCCCAGAGGTACACAGTTTGAATCCACCAGATGCTCTACTGGAGAAGGAAGGACAATCTCCTCCTGCACCAGTCAGATCTGATTTGACAGTACACACAAAAAATAATAAAATTTTAAAAAATTCAATTAGTAAATATTTCAAGAACGAATAAGTTATTCTAGGTTCTACCACCTCAGAGGAGCTCTAGTGGCCTAGTGATAAGGAGTTGCACCACCAACCCAAAGACATGCAGTTCAAATCCACCAGATGCTCTGTGGGACGTTCTTCTCCTGTGTGATAAATTGCTTCTGAAAACCTGGTGGAGGGTCATCCAAGAAGCATTTCTTACCCAATAGTACACAGCAATGAACCACCGAAATATATAGCAGGAAAACAGATATATGGCATGTGAGGAGAAGTTCTCTGCCCTTGGATTTCTTCCCTGTCCTCATTATCTCTTTCCCATATTACTTCCTTTCTTTCTCTTTCTACTCTTATTCCAAAATTCGCTCTGGCAAGTGTTTTTATATTTGTAAAAAACTCAAGACGCAGGTCATGTGCTGCTAATCCAATGGCAGTGCCTCTTCTTGAGTTCGAATCCACCAGTACGTCTGAGGAAGAAAGATGGGAAGTTTCCTCCTGTGGGATTAATTGCCTCTAAAAACCTGGTGGAGGGTCAGTGAGGAGTCATTTCCGACTCAATGACAATGAATTTTAGGTTTTTATAATAGACAAAAAGAACGAAAAAGAAAATATCTCTCACTAAGGCAAAAACATTCTTTTTTAAAAGCAAAAGTTGTGTTGCAAATAATGACTACCAATATTAACTAATCTGTGTGGTGAGCTCTGTCATTTTCTGGGCTCTGCCCTAATATGACATCTAGGGAGACTTTGCAACTTAAAAGTGGAGGTGAGGATTACTGAGTGAATAAAGATTCCAGAGTATGTAGTTGTTGTTACGTGTCGTTGAGTCATTTGCGACTCATAGCGACCCTATGTACAGCAGCCCTAAACCCTGCTCTATCCTGTGCCAATCACATTGCCTCTGACACACCCATCCCGATTAACCCAGTCACTGAATCAATCCACCTCATAGAGGGTCTTCCCCTCCTGCACTGCACCTCCACCCTACCAAACATGATGTCTGTCTCCAAGGACCTGTCTCTCCTTACAACATGCCCAAAGTATGTCAGACGAAGCCCCAGAATCCTTGCCTCCACGGAGTAGCCTGCTTTAACCCTCTCCAGGATAAATCTGTTTGTTTTCTTGGCAGTCCATGGTACATTCAATACTTTTCTCCAGTACCACAGCTCAAAGGCATCAATTCTCCTTCTATCGTCCCTAGTCATTGTCCAACTCTCTGATGCATAACAAGTGATTGCAAAGACCATGGCCTGTATCA